CCCTTCTCAGTTTTCCCACAGGGTCACTGATTCCACCCCAGCAGGAGTCCACAAATTTATATTCTGGAAGTTAGAAAATAGAAGGTGTCCAAATTAGCATCAGACGATTTTGTCTCCTAGGCAGATTCTTAAAAGTCTCTTTCCTGGGGAACTGAAGCAGCACAAAAGAAAATTCCCAAGGATTTTGATGTTGGTGATTTCAGATTGCCCAACAATGAAATTTAAAGTTGACAAGTTCCACAACAATGTGTTTGTTACATGCTGACAGTCAAGGTTTACTTGATATATGAGAAAAGCTATTAACAAAAAGAGACTAAAAGAAATGCAAATATCAAAATGGAAAAAACAGACTAAGTAAAGAAAATTCAAACAAACTGACATTAATATCATCAGAAATGTAAAACAAGAATAGGAGGCTAGATAGAGCATTCAAAGAATAAAGTAAGCTACTGGAAGTTAAAAAATGCAACAAAAATGAAAAACTCAAATATATTGGGAAAGAAATTCCAGATATTCCAGAGAGTAGAACAAAAAGAGATGGAAACTGGAATAGTGAAAAATAAGAAAATTAGAAACGAGGTCAGAAGTACATTAGTGAAGCATGAGAATTACAAAAGAGAAAACAAAGAGAGGGGGGCAGATAACATTATCAACAGAACAACTCCAAGAAAATGACTAGAGACATATATCACCTTTTATGTGCTAACCAGTCTCAAACCTTTGACTATTTTAAAATTTGTATTGATCCCATCTTTAGTTGAAACAGATGTTCATAAATCCAGATAAATGTCAGATAAATTATTTGCAATATTTTCCTCAATGTGACTTGTATATGTTTATTTTTAAACTGTTATTTGATGGGCAAAGTTTTAAAATATTGATGAAGTGGAGCACAGTTTTTCTTTTCTGTTTCTTGCATGTTGTGCCCTAAGAAATTTTTGGCTCAAAATCAAAACCACAACGACATACCACCTTACACCAGTAAGAATGGCACATATTAAGAAAACTAGCAACAACAAATGTTGGTGAGGATGTGGTGAAAAAGGAACTCTCCTACACTGCTGGTGGGAGTGCAAACTGGTCCAACCACTATGGAAAGCTCTCTGGAGGTTCCTCAGTCTTCTAAAAATGGAGCTACCAAATGGAGCTATAATTGCTGGAGCTACCCAGCAATTCCACTCCAAGGGATCTACCCAAAGGACAAAAAAAACACTGATTCAAAAGAATACTTGTATCCCTATGTTTATTGCAGCACTATTTATAATAGGTAAAACCTGGAAACAACCCAAATGCCCAAAATATAGATGACTGGGTCAAGAAAATGTGGAATACTATTCAGCAATCAAAAAAGATAAACTCATGCCACGCAGCAACATGGATGGAGCTAGAAGTAATTATGCTCAGTGAAATAAGTCAGAAGGAAAAAGGAAAATATCAGATGGTTTCACTTCTAGGAGGAATACAGGGGAACCAAATAAGACATCAGGGGCAAAAAATTATGACATTACAAAACAAAACAAAAACAAACAATTATAAACCAGAGACATCCTGCAGGTGAGGGGGAGAGAGGAGCACAGGGGACTATGGCGATGGTGCACAGGTGCACTGGTGGAGGAAATTCTATGGGGACTATACCTGAGGGGGTAAGGGAGCAAACATTGTATAAAAATGAACAATGATGTAAAATATATATATATATAAATAAATTTTAAAAATCTTTAAGTGAATAATTTAAAAAAAGAGAAATCTTTGGCTCACCCAATGTTACACAGTCCTATAAGATTTTGTATAGATCTGGCTCTTATGTTCAGATCTATAATCCATTTCTAGTTAATGTCTATGTATGGAGTAAGAGAATGTTGAAATTTGTTTTCTTTCTATTCAGATATCCATTTGCACCAGCACTGTTTGTTGAAATGACTGTCCTTTCTTCATTGAATTAATTTAGTACCTTTGTCAAAGACATAAATGTGGGTCTATTTCTGGATTCTCTAGTCTGTCCTTTGATCTACATGTGTATCACTATACCAATATCATACTGTCCTGATTACTGTTGCTTCACAGTAAGTCTTGCAATCAGATAGTGTAAGTCCAATCTTATCCTTCCTTTTCACAATTATTATATACTGGTTATTCTATATCCTTTATTTTTCATTCAAATTTTAGAACCAGCTAGTATATTTCCTCAAAAATATTGCTATGATTTCAGCTAAAAATGCATTGAATTCTATAAATTAATCTGAGAACTGCCATCTTAACAATGTTGAGTTTTTCTAATTCACAAACCTATCTAACCCATTTACTTATATATCTATCCATTTGATTTACATGTTGCAGTTTTTCTTGTACAAGACTTGCTAACAGGATCAAGCAAAATTAGTTTCATTTCTGACATTATTATGGGACATGTAGCAATATGACATTTACCCCTACATGTTTATTATTAAGGAGCTTTGATTTTCTAAATGTATTTGATATCTACAAATATCTGTGTGTTTTTATTCCCTCAATTGTCTAGGAAACTTCAGAAAGAATAGTCACATCCAGAGCTTCTTAAGCATATTGCTATCATTTAATTTGCATAAGCTGTGTGCAAGCACAGAAAACCATTTACTTAGCTTAGATAGTTCAATGATCCTATTGGTCCATAACTGTTATAAATATCTGTAATTTTCAAATGTCATGTCAATGACCCTAAGAGCAAAGTAAAGGCAAAATAAAATGTTACTGCGGTTAACTGCCCAAATTTGTGGGGACATTCTGATAGAGAGCCACCTACACAAGAGGCAAACCCAAATTATGCACTGAGTGCCCACCAAGTAACAGCTTTCCCTCACAGTTATTAAATTTAATACTCATAAACATTTTGATATCATTACACTCCTTTTGCAGAAGTGGAACCATGCTGAAAAAGTAAGTGGCTCACCAAAAATCACAGTTATATTAGGTAGCTGTGGATTCTGAACTGAGAATTCTTGACCCTAGATGTGGTATTTGTTCTACTTTGCCAGAGAAACCTATAGATCAAGAGTTGGCACAGTTTTTCTATAAAGAGGAAGATAGTATATGTTTCAAGCTTTGCAAGCCATATGGTCTCTGGCACAACTCTCTATATGTTAGTAAATGATGCTAACTCTGCTCCAATAAAACTTTATTTGCAAAAACAGAAGACAGGCTGGATTTGGCCCAGCAGTTGAGGTTTGCAGACCCTTGCTACAGGTTAAAACATACGTGTCACAAAGGGATAAAACAAACAAATCATAAAGGGACTAAGCTCTGAAGCTTCTCCTTTTCAGACATTCGGAGGCATTTTTCATTACTGCTCCACTTTCTCTGCTGAATTATATGCAGTAATTATGATTTCACTTTAAGTTCATCTTCCAGTTTCTATCGCTTCCATAGTGCCAACTTTTCTTTTCCTAATACCAGTCTAGCTTTGTTGATAAACACTTAAAGGCCATGGATCAATAACTGTTGTTTTTTTTTTTTAAAAAAAAAAAAACCTAGAGATTTCTCTTTTTTTTTTTTAAAAAAAAAAAGATTTATTTATTTATTTATACAAGCACTGGGTACAGTCAGAGGCACGGGAGGATGAGAGAATTCACCAGAGCCAGAACGGAAAGTACAACAGGCAGAGTGACGAAGTACACTGCTGAGGGGAGCAGCGGGCGGCAGGAGAGTTCTCCCCGCCATGTGGGACCTCGCCCACCGGCCAGAGATCGAACTGGTGCTGCAGAGGCTGCGGGCAGCTTCACTACCCAGCGCTCAATCGCTGTGCCACCAGGGGAGGCCCTCAACATCTGTTTTTAAATTAGTTTAAGGGGAAGGACCAATTCAGGCCAAACAAGATATCCCCTTATCCCCAAAAACACACTCTCCTAGGAAAAAATAGCTTTATTAGATTCCAAAATGGAATAATAAGGATTCCCTGCTTTAGAGAATATTTTTAAATATTAATGAAAAACTGGTACTGCCTTTTAGTTACAGAGGTGCAAATATGTGGAAAATAGAGTGTCTTTCTAATCTTCCATCCCTTAACTTTACATAGTGCTTCAGGATTCAAATCACACTTCCTATACATTATTTCATTTATCGTTGAAGAATACTTTCCAGTAGGTATTATTATGGAGAATCTGATACAGATGTTAAGTCACTTTCCCAGTGATATTTACTTCTCTTCTGTGTAACATTGAGCTACTGGTGCAAGGAACATGGAAATAAATAAAATCCCACTTCTTTGCCTTTTTCCTTTCTCCTCCACCAAAACCCACACACCTAGAGAGGAAATGTGAAAAGATTCTTCTCCTGATGGCCCTGGTAGCTTTTTTCCTGTCAGGCTTCTGGCTGGTTGATCTGCATTGGCAATTAGATCAGACACTTTTCTGGAAAGCCAAACAAGGCCTCAGGCTCTCTGGTCTCAGGCTCCTCATCATTGTTTTATGGGGTAATTCTCTCCAGGAACTTATATACTTTGTTACAGTGTTATATTATATTGTACTATTTTATTGATTACAAATAATCACTTTTAAAAATCTTAGGCGGTATGATCAATGTTACATTACTTCATATTATATTGTGTTTACTATGAATTCTGAAAGCTAGTTTTATTTCCCCAATAAACATAAATTCCTTACTGTCTCTATTTCTGCTTCTATCTCCTTTGAATGGACGTTATTTACATGTTCTTTCCATCTGTCAGTATTCTTTCTCCATATGGTCAATCTCCTATATTTAGTTCTTTCTTCAACAAATTTTAAAGAGGATAATATCTAGAGTGGGGCCCCTGTTTAGTCCTTTGCACTATTTGGGCATAGTCATTTCTTTAAGAGCCTATATTATTTCTTCCAGGCCCTATTGGTTAGCTAATTCACATATCCGTCCTAATGCTTTCATTAAGCAGTAGTTTAGAGAATTTTTAATTTCAGGAAAGGATTTTTCTAATTATAAGGAACTGGAGTCACACAGAGTCTGCTGAATGAAACTTCCTTAGCTCTACTTACCTCTGCAATCAGATCATGTAGCTCTCTTTCACTAGGGCAGCATCCTAATGACCTGATAATTGTTCCAATCTCTCTGGGAAATAAAATAGTCAAATTTTAGAACATAAACTCTGAAAAGTTAAATGCTATGTTTCTCCAAATTATTTCAGAGGAGACAACGCACAGCAAACAAAGTCAGTCAATAAATATATTGCCTTGTGAGGACAAAAGATACTTTCCAGAGAAAGGAGAAGGCAGACAAGTGAACCAGAGGGTAACAACTGACCCAAAGAAAGAAGAAAGAAGTGTTTGCATTGACTGGCAAGAGCAGGCCCTGTCTGGGTCAAAACCAAAGTTCTAGAAAAGGAAAAGAAAGGAGGAAAGAGTGAGAATAAGAATTTCAGTCACACAGTTAACTCTTTTGAACCTGAGTATCCAATGGGAATAACACTGACCCAAGAGTTTTGTGGTAAGTAAAACCACAATACCTAGAATTGGGCTGGGGATACTCTATTGGCCAAAAAGTCTGAGCTGCATAACATATATAAAGCAAAGCTTTATATAAAATCACAGCTCTCAACAAAGCAGACATGTAGTAATTACTCTCCTTCCACTCCCTCATAATAATGCAATTTGTTTCAACAAATAACCTACGAAAAGTATATATTATATTCAGTACCCCATAGATGCCTAAGATTGGGGGGGGGGGTTGTAATAGATTACTAAATGCTTTAATTTAAAATATTAAAATTAAAGTTTTAATATTTTAGTGTTAAATTCAACTTCACAAAGATTCATTTAACTCAAATATTTCATTCCATTACCATTCTAGATAATATTGGTAATGTCATATTTATTCTCCATTCCACTGAAATATTTAAATTAAAAGATTTAAGTTCTTCACTTAAAGAGGTTTTAGGAGAAATGTCAATTTAAAAGAAAAAAACCTAAAGTCAATAATTATGGAAGAGAGAATTCTTAATTTATTGATCTTCTATCATAATAAATGAGAACAAAATAAACACAGAATGTTTTCATGTCAACTATATTTCATATCTCCTTAACTCTATAGTCTTAATTTCATGCTCATCTAGGCAGGACATGAACATGATGGCATTATATAGGCTAGCCCCCCAAAAAAATGTTCAGAAAGGTGTCCCCAAGATGTCCACAACAGGACTTCCCAAGCTGTATCACCGTGGCATATGGGATTATTTCAAACTATTCTCTCAATGGAGGCCCTGTAGGCTTACAAGAAACTGTTACCTTTCCCTTACCCAACAAGAAGAATGAAAATTGGGGATATTACCCAGAATTAGTTTTTTTTGTTTTTAAACCAGAAATAATCTTTCCATCAGAGAAATCCATGTAGCAGGGCAGATGTCTAAATCACAGAGCACCTGGTATTCACCACATGAGTCACACCTCCGTGCTCCTTGAAGCCCCAGACCCCTTAACTCAAGCACTTGTCCTATTATTTAGCTGAGGACATCCTCACTTTGCCCCACTGACTGTAGATTCTACATCCACGGAGATTCCCCATGCTTATGTAACTAAATTTGTTCATCTTTCCTAATCTGTCAGATGTTAATTTGAATGCTTGACCAGCCCAAGAAGAATCCAGAGGGGTAGGGGGGAATTTCCTCACCACCCCTACAGTTACTAGAAACTGAAAACATTCTATAAGATTATGTTTTCTCTCAAGAAAGTCCCTAAAGACATCCTATGAAGCTGACTAATGCCATGTAGTAAATGCATTAGTGTAACATCAGACTGGCTATTGTGTGTCAATACATTAGATTCAATAGTTAACAAGGCAGTTTACAAAAAAATATGACTTGAGAAGTATTCATAAATTTATCCCCTCTATAACCTTCTCTGAGTCTCTTGTTATGTGAATCAGGGAATTTCTTAAATCTCCAGAACAAGGAACAAGAATCAATAAGGAACAAGAACAAAGGTTGCATTAACTTGCTTAAAGAATGGGAGAGTACAAAGAGGGAGTGGGGGAGAGGCCTGATATCCCTTGGAGGCTAGAATTGTGAGGGAGGTGGGATAGGCCTGTCTCATATTGTAGCTATTACCTACATCTGACTGTTGAGTGCTTGATATGTGACTAGTGTAAACTGAAATGGACTGTAAATGTAAAATACATATCGATTTCCAAAACTTAGCACAAAAATAAGGTAAAATATCTCTGTAAAGGCGGGAGCTTGTATTATTATGTGCCTCAATGATTCCATGTCTTTACCTTGATTATTCTTTGCTTTGACTATTCTGTGCCTCTCGGTGTGCAGAAACATGGAAAGTTGATAAGGACTCTTTCAGTATGTATAGACCCTCACATCAGGACTTTTGCCCCTAGAAGTTCCTTATCAGCTTTTCCTGTTTCTGCACACTGAGAGGCACAGAATTGTCAAAACAAAGAATAATCAAGGCAAAGACACAGAATAGTTGAGGCACATAATAATACAAGCTCCCGGGCCTCCCCGGTGGCGCAGCGGTTGAGCGCTGGGTTGCGAAGCTGCTCGCAGCCTCTGCAGCACCGGTTCGATCCCCGGCAGCTTCCCAGCCACCGGAGGAGGGTCCCACATGGCGCGCAGACCTCTCCTGCCGCCCGCTGCTCCCCTCAGCAGTGTACTTCGGTCCTTCTGCCTGCTCTGCTCCCCGCTCTGGCTCTGGTGAATTCTCTCACCCTCCCGCACTTCTGACTGTAACCAGTGTTTGTATAAATAAATAAAAATAAATCTTTAAAAAAAAAAATGAAGAAAGAATTTAAAAAAAAAAAATAATAATAATAATACAAGCTCCCACATGTAAGTTTTACGCTGGTTACATATTAAAACCATATTCTAGACACATTGAGTTAAATAAAACATTGTTTAATTTTATGTTTCTTTTTATGTTTTTAATGTGGTGACTAGAAAATTTTAAATCACACATGTAATATGACTTTTGTACAGTGTTTTTCTAAGGAATATTTACCATTATAGTTAGTCCTTGAAAAGAGAAAGAGATAAAGAGAAAATTAGAATGACATTGTGCTATGTCAACAACATAGTCAAATCTCCTTTTGGTTCTCCAGGAAACAAAAAAATATTTAAATGGATTTTCAAAGTTTATGGGATACCAGACTATTGTTTCCTTTAACATTAATACTGGTCTCAAGGTAGACATTTTACATTCAGTCTACTTAAATATTGTACAATTATGACACAAATTTCTATACCTTAATAATATATAACTAATTTTTCCTAGTACTCAATTTGCATGGTATCTGCTAAGCACTTTCACATATACTGTCTTACTTGATTGTCACAAAAGCCCTGTCTAGGTATCATCCTAATTCATAGATAAGTAAACTGAAATTTGGAAAAGATAAATGACTTGCCCAAGATTACACAGTGAGTAAATGGCAGCACAAGAGTTAAACACATTTTTAATTACTCCAGATCCCATTCACTCAACAAAACAAATAGGAGCTCCCACTATGTGCCAAGGACTGTGTTAGATACTGGGGAAACAGTAATGAATAAGATAACAGCTGTCCTTGCTCTCAAGGAATTTATGTTCTAATAGTGAAGAGTAAGTTATTAAAATAAAAGAAAGAATGGGGGAGAAGGGTAGCAGCTGGTAAAGTGTATCATGACCACATGACTGGGTTATGGATCTAGGAAAAACTTTATCAGAATTAACTTTTATTTTTTTCTTTTATTTTATATATTTTTTACATCATTTTTCATTTTTGTATAATGTATGCATTTTCATCTTGGTTATAGTCCCCATGAAATTCCCACCACCCATTCACCTGTGAACGATCGCCATGGTCCCTTGTGCTCTTCCCACCCTTGTTTTGATTTTACTCCCTTCCCATCCCACTGCAGTATGTCTCTGGTTTATAGTAGCCTATTGATTTTGAATTTTACTTTATTATAATTAGTTTTTTTTCCTGATCCCTTATTTGGATCCTCTACAATCCTACTATAAGTGAGACCATCCAGTATTTTTCTTTTTCTTTCTGGCTTATTTCACTGAGCATGATCCCTTCCAGCTCCATCCATGTTGCTGCAAATGGCTAACCCTAACCCGAATAGCCAAAGCTCTCCTGAAAAAAAAAAGTAGGGAATGGAGGCATCACACTCCCAGACTTCAAACTATACTACAAAGCCATAATAATCAAAATTGCATGGTATTGGAACAAGAACAGACACACAGACCAATGGAACTGAATAGAAAACCCAGAAATAAGCCCACAGACTTACAGTCAACTAATCTTTGACAAAGAAGCAAAGAATATGCAATGGTGCAAAGAAAGTTTGTTCAATAAATGGTGCTGGGAAAACTGGGCTGCTACATGCAAAAGAATGAAGCTTGACTACTATCTCACACTATGCACAAAAACCAACTCAAAATGGATTAAAGTACTAGACATAAGAACTGAAACTATAGGGGCCTCCCCGGTGGCACAGTGGTTGAGCACTGGGTTGCGAAGCTGCCCACAGCCTCTGCAGCGCTGGTTCGATCCCCGGCTGCTCCCCGGCCACTGGAGGAGGGTCCCACATGGCGCGCAGACCTCTCCTGCCGCCCGCTGCTCCCCTCAGCAGTGTGCTTCGGTCCCTCTGCCTGCTCTGCTCCCCGCTCTGGCTCTGGTGAATTCTCTCACTCTCCCATGCTTCTGACTGTACCCAGTGCATGTATAAACAAAACAAACTAGCAAAATAAAATAAATAAATAAATAAATAAAAACATGCCTCTATAAAAAAAAAAAAAAGAACTGAAACTATAAAATATATTGAAGAAAATATTGGCAAAACACTACATGACATACACCCTAGTAACATCTTTAAAGATACATCACTCAAAGCAGTGATAGGGAAGGAAAGGATAAACAGCTGGGACTACATAAAATTAAATTTAAATTAAAATTAAAGAGCTTCTTTACAGCAAAAGAGAATTAACTTTTAAACCACTTCAAGCCTAAATGGGAAGGGAAATGTTCCAAGCAAAGGAAAAAAGCAAGTGAAATCGTGGGACATTCAAGGAATCAAAAGTATTTCAGTATGGCCAGAATATAAGGTATTAGTGAAGGGAGAG